GAGGGTGGTATGAGGGCCCAATGTCCACAGGTGGGGGTTGTGCTTACAGCCCAACACCGTGCAGGACGTTTGGCATTTGCCAGAGAACACCAAGATTGGCACATTCGCCACTGGCGCCCTGTGCTCTTCACAGATGAAAGCAGGCTCACACTGAGCACATATGAGAGACATGACAGAGTCTGGAGACACCATGGAGAACGTTCTGCTGCCTGCAACAACCTCCATCATGATCAGTTTGGCAGTGGGTAAGTAATGGCGTGGCGTGGCATTTCTTTGGGGGCCGTACAGCCCTCCATGTGCTCACCAGAGGTAGCCTGACTACCATTAGGTACTGATATGAGATCCTCATACCCCTTGTGAGACCATATGCTGGTGCGGTTGGCCCTGGGTTCCTCCTAATGCAAGACAATTCTAGACCTCATGTGGCTGGAGTGTGTCAGCAGTTCCTGCAAGACGAAGGCATTGATGCTATGGACTGGCCCGCCTGTTCCCCAGACCTGAATCCAATTGAGCACATCTGGAACATCATGTCTCGCTCCATCCACCACAAACTGTCCAGGAGTTGGCAGATGCTTTAGTCCAGGTCTGGGAGGAGATCCCTCAGGAGACCATCCGCCACCTCATCAGGAGCATGCACAGGCGTTGTAGGGAGGCCATACAGGCTCGTGGAGGCCACACACACTACTGAGCCTCATTTTTACTTGTTTTAAGGACATTACATCAAAGTTGTATCAGCCTGTAGTGTGTTTTTCCACTTTAATTTTAAGTGTGACTCCAAATACAGACCTCCATGGGTTGAAAAATGTGATTTCCATTTTAAATTTTTTGTGTGATTTTGTTGTCAGCACATTCAACTATGTAAAGAACAAAGTATTTCAGAAGAATATTTAATTAATTAAGATCTAGGATGTGTTATTTTTGGGTTCCCTTTATTTTTTTTAGCAGTGTAAAAAACATTACTTTTTCATTTTTATCCATCAAATCGATTCGAATAAACCAATTTGTTTCTGCATTAAAAAGTCTATCTTCAGTTATAAAAACAGATGCAAATACATTCAAATAAATATACAATAGAATCTTCTCATACAATTACAGAAGTAAAACAACTTTTTACTATGTTTACTCTGTTTGGAAATGAAGTCATATTTATATTTCCAGAAATAAGACAATGCCACTTATTTTGATGTTAGTGTGTAAATCCGAATTTTCTATATTCACAAATCTCGAAGCAAAATACCGAACCAAAATATCAGGCATTATTTTGTAAACTTTTCCTTAGTATATCTATACCTTAGTGTCATATTCTTATTCTGCATTTTAAAAAGGAACAGTCCACTGCCCAGATACAACATGAAAATGACCGTTTAGGAGACATACATGCAATTAATGATGCATTTTTCCTTTTGGGTTATATACAGAAACAGATTGCAAAAGGTGCAGATCTCTTGTCTGCAGCCTTTGCAAGCCCTCTACTTCTAACCCCGCTCACACTTTCTGTGGCTGTCCAATTACAGCTCAATGAGACGTTGTCTTATTGACAGACAGTGAGATGTAACAAGGTTAATTTATAAAAGTGCCAATTTCAACTGAAATATGTACTTTTTGTAAAACCAAAAAAGAGCACACACTCTTCACACAAATAGCACTTCAGCTAGCTAAATTAATTTATGGTTGTGGAGTGTCCCTTTAACTTTTTGATTATAATGCTATTTTATTAAACATATATAAACATACAGATATATTGTACAATGGACTGATTCTCTGCTAAGGGTTTGACTTCTAAACTCATACAAATGCAAGTTTCAAATATATCATATTAAAAGGAACCTTTCAACACGGACTTTTTTCGGGTGAAACAATTTTAGTTTCATTTGATATATTATTCATTACAACATAAAATGGTTATTTGAAAGTTATGCTTTCAAAGGTGAGTAAAAGATGACTGACATTTACTTCTTAAAAAGTAATTTAAGCTGATGATAATAATAACGATCTGATTCTTCCTGCATTAAAACCAAAAGAAAAAAAAACACTTTCACTCAGTATGAGTGATTATTAAATTATGCAAATAACAGAATTCTGATCTCTTCAACTCTATGTGGAAATATTTCACTTTGCTTAACTTTTTTTTTTCTGGAGCTAATCAGAGCAAAATTACAGCAGTATCAAACCATGTTACAGTAATATGTACAGGGTTCTCTTCATGTTATAAAACGCACCATATGTGACATAATATAATACGGACTGGCCTTCAATAGTGAAAGAATAACATTGGGAATTGTGCGTATGTTATCACTATTTATTACCTCACGTCTTTAGCGAAATTGCATAAAATGATCACAGCGTTAATAATTAAACAACTGTCACTTCCAGAGAAGTGATAATTCCTTGTTCCCTCACCTGTGAATGAAGCAGTGGAGGTAAGTAAAAAATACACAATTTTCTCACCATGGGCATTCTTGTACGCATCAAACAGAGAAATTCTGGACACATGCATGTGCCTTGTGTTCAAAACCGCATTAGGTAACCAATTTACATATGTTGCCGGGCAAAACATGCACGTAAAAATACAATTAATTGTACAGAACATTTTTAAAAACTTAGTACTAACAATAGCAAACTTTTAATTAGCTATCTAGTTGCGCTAAAATTTCAGAAATTAAAAATAGATTTTTTTAATTGTCTTACGTATGATAATCACTAAGTAATAACAATTATTTATAATTACAATTTCATTATAATTAACATTAATACTGTTATTACTACTAATGTTTAGGTACACTTATAAAGTTATTTCTAAAATATTACAATACAGTCAGTTAGTACTAACAGGTCTGTGACTACTTTGTCATTGTAAATCTTCCTTTATGGTTTCTCTTTCTCACAACTCAGAAACTAAAGTCTCTTGCCCTTCATCACCTAGTTTGTACCCCTGAACAATGTATCAATTTGTTACTTTGGTTAATGAACTCATTACATAATTTTTAATCTTATTAACTTAACTGGTTCTAAGTAGCACATATATCAGTTTTTTTTCTGATAATACCCAAATATATGTATTTTTAATACCAATTTACCATCTGCTACTCTGCCATACGCGTTTGGGTTTCTTAGGTATAATAATGCCTCACAGACACTTGTAACTTGTAACACGTCTCTCGGAAATACTAATTATCGTAGTTTATTAGGTTATCTTCCAACCAACAGGTCTTCCTTATCACCATGTTAATTATTTCTCAAATTTAGAAAATGATCATGAACTTAAGTTCTCATTAAAGTATATACTAAGGAACAAAAATACTTTGAAAAGTCAATATACGTCACATCTCCATTAAAAGAAATGGATACATAGCACATTGTTATGTTAATGTAGATGTTCAAATCAACAGGTAAAACTAGATTAATCAAATGTTAATGTTATGGAGATGATGTGTACTTCCCTCTTGCAGCTCTCAGCAACAAAACAATAAAAATTGATAATTAAATAGCCCTACGCGTTTCTTCCATCTGCATGGACTTCCTCAGGGGTAACAGTAAATAAATCAAATGTGCAGTCATCAATCACAAATCTTTACTGTGTGAACAGTTTAAATATACTTCTGTTTATTTTACATTTATTTGTGTTTTGTATTTATTTAAATTTTATTTTATTTAACCATTGGGTTCTAGATTCACAAGCTCTGAGACTCTTGCATAATTTCCCTACGCCTCATTTTCGTTTTCCACTTAAGAGTTTTTTTCTTTTCTTAAGATTTTACTAGGTTTTTATTGTCTTTTATTATAATGGACTTATATGATCTCTGGCCGGAATTATTTTAATCTTTACCGAACGGAATTAGCATAGACGGACATTAAAGATAGGAAGCATGTCACTATCGGCATGAACCGAATGCATAACGTGAATATGGAACGCACGCGTCATTGATAGACGGACGTAAAATACGGAAACCGGAAGTAGAATTAGATTGAGGCTTGGAACGCATAATAAGGAACAGCGGAATAGAAACACAATTCGCATTGGGATTGGTTGATGGCGCCCAGAGGGAGGACTTGACCGGGATATTTAAACTGTATGTTCACACTGTTGAGATTTGTGATTGATGACTGCACATTGATTTATTTACTGTTGCCCCGAGGAAGTATACATTTTTATTGTTTTATTTTTGATAGCTGCTCCAACCCTCTGAGAATTTTTCTGTTTGGAGATCCAGCGAATATGGTGATATACTCATTCTGTTTTTAAATCTTGTAAATTTAACCAATAAATATAGTCTCTTTTATAACCAGTAAACATCTAATATATGTGTCCACTTCTCTCATTCCAAATTGCAATTCTTCCGAATTTAGTCTAATCAGATGATTGGTCGAATTGTCGAGTATGGCAATACCCGGATGTGCTTAAGGTGTTAAAAAAAACAAAAAACAACACCTTAGACTCAAAGGTTTTTTTTTTTCTCTTTCTAAACACTGGGTAATTCCTAAATCCTGGACTGTTGGGTGTGCCTTGAGGAGAGGGTTGAGGAGCACTGGAGTATGGAGCCTTATTGTTGTTAAATTACGAACCAAGTGAAATGCACAGTGGCCGTGGAGCGTTTGTTGAAAATTATAGACATAATATTTATATTTCCTCATCTTTTTTTTTTTCTTCTGATTTATTTTCCCAAATCTTTGTTCCTTAATTTTTTTTTAATTAGCACACTGCAGTCAAATTTTCTTCCACCCTTGTAACACTATCATTGCCAAATAAAATCATTAAACAGATGTCTCGCTCTCATTGACATAAACATAAGTAAAGTGATCTGTAGAAGTAGTCATTTATGATTTAAACTGGTTCTGGCTTTTAATAAATTATTTTCTTAATTCGGCTTCAACACTGAAAAATGTCTTTTAACTATTGATGCGTTTATCAGAAAAGCTGCACACACACACACACAAAAAAAACAGGTTTATAATGTGCTATTGTTTTGTTAGAAGATAATAGATTACTTAAATGCAGATAAAATAGACCTTTTTCAATCCACAAATTTAATGAGCTTTACATTGTACAGTAATTACTGGCATGAGCCAAGTGTATTCCAATATTTCTATAAGCAATTTGTATATTGTAGATTGCAATCTGCTTTTGGTAAAAATTAAGGAAGCAATGAGCTATTAACTCTCAAAGAAAACAAGCAATATATTATCGAGATCAAGAATATAACGAATTCAGCATGGCTATCCTTCTTAAACATAAATGCTTTAAAAGAAAGAAAAAAGGATGGTAAACTTGTTAAGCTCCATAAGCAGTACAGTTCGGTATGGAAATGAGGAAACAGCGCCTTGTAGACAGTAGACTCAAATCCAGGTGATGGTCAGTGGATATGTGGAGAGAAAAGAGCAAAGAAAAAACAAAATAGTGTAGTATCTTCTGGCAGTTGGTGAAAGGAGTATAAAAAAAACTTACAATTTTCAGAAGCTATAGATCAGCTCCAGATGTTAGCTCTTGGGCGGTACAATCTCTGCCTATGGATGTGATGGTCCTGTAGGGCTTTGGCATATGTTGTATCTGGATCTGATTGCAGTAGAAATTGTGTGTATCTCCAAACTTGAAAGCTGTGGGTCACCATTGTAGATCTGCATGAAAAAACTATCCCAATCGCACACGTGGTATAATTCCCACCAAGGATATAGCTGGAGTTTTCCTCTTGATAAAATCTTCTTTCAAAACTTCCAGGAGTGTCCAGAATAGTGATAAAAGAGATTAAATATTTAATTATAAATACAAATATAAAAAAAACACTTGTGTGTTTCACCAATCTATAGGTTTTTTTTCAAAGTAAGAAAGAGCTAAATGTAATTTAAACATTTATTGAATAACATAAAATATATATTTTTTACTTTTTTAACCCTTTAAAAATATGGGAGTAGAGAGGGACTAGCTCTTTTAATATCCTAGGTGAGAGGGTTAGGCAGGCCAGATACAATACCTCCAGTACATTATGGAAATTGGTGAGATGAAAAACGTGCTGCAAACATTAGAAAAAAAATTAACAAAAAAAGGAACATAAAAGATGCTTACATAGAAATGCTGCAAAGGTACAGGGCACGACAATAAGTATTTTACATGTGTGTATATATTTTAAATGAGCAGAGTGTGCTTTCAAACCTTGTACTGCAAAATGGGTGCCTTCATCCATGTGTTAAATTCTGTAATACATAGTTGTGTTTCCAGACTGCAGCTGTTTAGAACAAGTACAATTTGTGTGTGTTTGAATGTGTCAGATTTTAGTGTCTTCATGCAACATAAACTGTGACATGTAGTGCAATTTAACCTTTAGAAACATGAAATCTACATTTTAATATTTTTGAATAGTTTTAAAAGTGGACTACTACAAGGAGATCATCTCTTCAACATGTTCACATTTTCTGGTCATCACCTTTTTGTACTTTTGCTTTGAAAACATTAATTGAAATGTGCCCAAATCAGTCTATTGTGCTGTTTCATAATGCCAGTTTTGGCTTGATTTATTTTATTTTCACAGAGAAGCTAATTATATATGTCTGAAAAGTTTTAATTCTGTCCTTGGATCAGAATTCCCTTTGGTTTACTATGATAATACTATAGTTCCCAAGCTTTCATATTGTAAAAATGGGACAATATTTTTGGAGAAAACAATAGAGCTAAGGATTGAGCATTACAGACAGCTTTGGGCTTCTAACTGTGTAGAGGAGTATATTATTTACAGTGATTAATTAAGTGCATTTACTGTAAGTAAAAGATACAAACATTTTGTTGTATGTTCCTTAAGTAGGGGAACACAAGATCAGGAATAATTAATCTGTGTCTCAGTATAGAAATGTCAAATGATGGACAAGCAAAGGTTTTTGTACCAGAATGCAATCTAAACATCCCACGTTAGCTGACATGTTAGATATTTGAAGGCTATTATTTTCCCAAAGTTTTATTATAAATAAACTAACTGAAAGTTTTCAATCTATATGATAGAAATTACCATAGAAATCTGCTGATTATGCAGCCCTCGAGAACCAGAGTTTGAAAGCCCTAGGCTAATTCAATGTTGTTTTTAAAGTTTCTTGTAATCTATTCTTTTTTTTTTGGTCAAACTCAGCCAAGGTTAAAACATATAGTCAGTAAATATTTATTGTTTTGTTTGAGTGTATTAATCATACATTATTCTTATTTTGTCTACTATTTTTATTAACTTGTCAACACTTGTTTTATTTAAGATGTCTACATTTATTTTCACAATGGAAAATGTTTTTGAAGCATGGACTTTTCTTAAAGGGACACTATAAGCACTAAGACCACTGCATCTCATTGATGCTTCCATGGTGAGAACCGAGTCAGTCTTCGTTCTTGACAATCATGTCCTCACACATTGCATGATGATATCAAACATTCAATCACTGCATCTCACGGTGCATGTGCATTAACTCCACAATGCTCTATGAGAAGCATTTTATTGGACAGGTCTGAAGATATCAGTGGAGGTGGACCATGGTGAGAGATGATCTATACATTTTTTTAGCCTAATCTAATCCATTGACGATTCCAGATAATGGAAAAGACAAACATGGTCATGTATCTATAAGAACTTTAACTTGAAATAATGAATTGGTTAAACAAAAATTTTAAAGTAGTTCTTTTATACAACAAATTGCATGGCTGTCAAAAATTGTGTATTTATGCATTTTTCTCATATTAATGCATGTATTCATTTAAAAACACGAGTATCCATTTCGAAATTAGAAATCTCTGGTTTCATAGTTTCCTAATTAAAATTTGAAAACAGTACATTAATGAGAAGTGGTGCTTCTGATTTCTAATCAGCTTTTAACATAGTAAATTATTTTAATTATAAGCTAATGCTTAATATCAGGGGCAATCTAAGACACTTAAAGAAAAGATTCACAATTTAATCCAGCATGCAGAACAAGTAAACACATGAAAAACACTGTTTCACTGACAAACAGAATTTTAAAAGAAAAGATCCTTTGAATAATGTAAGACCAGAAAAAGATTTGTCAGGACAGATTCTTTCGACTATTGACTCATACTCACCTGGTACGGCAGGTCTGACATTTGGAGAAAAAAGGATGTGTGGGGCTCACCAGGCATTTGGCATCATGTATGATGTACCCCACTGCAAAGGGGCATGTTTGCCAGGACGACAGGCTGCATGAAAATTAAGGCTTCCCATACACCCTTAAATGCCCTGTATTTCATAGCAAGTGCAGTCAGGTGATTAGGGAGAAAATTAGAAAATTGTGTCTTACGCAAGTACATTGTGTGACATGACAAGTTAGATGACTGATACTATAGTATATTTATAATACTAGAGCATAGTCTATCATATACATTTTATTTCATAATGTAATGTTAACCATCAAATAAGAACTAGGTTGAAAGGATAGTCTAACTCTTTCTAACACATAGATTTGTCTCTTTTATGTAAAATGCCCTATTGGGCATTTCTAATAGGTTCCCAAATATAATAACTAAAAAAAAACCCTCCCCTTAAATCATGCACCAGGCAAAATTCAGAGTGCATGCACGCAGTCTGAGTGGAGGGAGGTGGTGTTTAAAAAAACAAACTATTGTGGCAATGGAGGGAGGTTCTAGGGAGAAATGGAGGAAAAGCTAACTTCTCCTTTCAGGCACTCTCCCTGCATGTAAGAAAATCTTTACCTCTGTTGCCAGTGCACTGTGTGCACTGACAACAGACTTAAAATATTCACAGAACTGACATTTGGATGTCCGGAACAGAGTTCAAGCAGAAAAGCTCCACATACAGACTCCTACTGCCATGAAGTGGTCTTGGTGGTTTGAGTAACCCTTTAATACCCATGGGGTATTGAATGCAGAATATTCACCAGTTTTGGTAGCAGAAAATAATATGACAGCATTCCCAGTCAGACTGGTTCTCTTCAACTTATCAATTTACTAAGCACCTATTTGTCATTTTTGGATTTATATGTTTCATAACCTCCATTTTTATTTTATTTTATTTTTTAATAATGTCCTAATCTGGGACCAGGTTAGTGCTCCAATTATGTACAAAAAAAATCTCTGTTGCCTCTAGTGTAGGACTCTTGTCAGTACAGATATTGAATCTCTGTTGACCATTGCATAGAAACATAGAAACATAGAATGTGACGGCAGATTGTGTAGGACTCTTGTCAGTACAGATATTGAATCTCTGTTGACCATTGCATAGAAACATAGAAACATAGAATGTGACGGCAGATAAGAACCATTCGGCCCATCTAGTCTGCCCAAACCGTCCCTTGCGGCCGCTACACCTTCTACCTGCTTGTCCTCTTTTGGCATTTCAGTTTCCAGGAACCAATGATGGCTTGTACTTTTGCGCATGTGCAAGAGTACAACACTGAGGTCTATGGACGATACTGCAAAACATCCATAGGCAGATTGCATGTGCCCTCAATATAATTCTAGGAACACCACACACTTTTACAACTAAATGTTATATATTCTTCAATGTGTCACATAATCTGGAGGGAAGTAAATCATTCATTGAGCTTGTAAATCGCAATACCAGATGAATCATTCATAGTCTAGACTTGAAATCCATCACTCTAATGGTAACTTAAGTTTCTTCGACAAAACTATGTTTAACAGGAATGTCTGCTTCCTTTGCCCCAGGGAGACAAGTGATATAGTTTGAAGTTCATATAAACTCATAATTTTTTATTTTTAACATTTCACACTGAAACTGGAGAAGTAATATTTAACCAAAAAACATAATTTACCCAATTAAGCAAGCGCTAGGTTTTTTCATGAGCTAGGGGAGTTTTTCTATCTCTTTAATATGCGTTAACAAACAGATCTACTAGAGGGAACTGTTAAAGCAGCTCTGTCACCGTCTGGGTCTTTGCACAATTTTGTGAAGTCCCTCACTGGTAACTGCTCTGCTAGCAGTGTAGTAGCTGAAGGGTGCAAATGAGTAATGCCTACCTAAAACCGTCCCTTGCGGCCGCTAAACCTTCTACCTGCTTGTCCACTTCAAGTTTTGGCATTTCAGTTTCCAGGAACCAATGATGGCTTGTACTTTTGCGCATGTGCAAGAGTACAACACTGAGGTCTATGGACGATACTGCAAAACATCCATAGGCAGAGGCAAGCGGAGTTTGTCAAGGCTTGACAAAATGTAGTTCCGCATTCTCTCAAGCTTTGTCAAGAGTAGGAAAA